AGGGTGCAGAATTTTATTTGAATGTCGAATAGATTCATTGAAATTTAGCTCAATTCTTTCAGGTTGATTTTTAAGCTTTCTTAGTGCTTCTCTGGAGCTAGTTTAATTACTTATGTAAGGTGCAATATGTCTTGAATCTCCACTATAGCCTATGGATATTGAAAAATGATTTTCCCCTCTGGATAATTGAAATTTCAAATGTGGCTTCAAAGTGTTTTCATTTTTCTGTTTTTGTTTGTTTGTTTGGTTGGTTGGTTTTTGTTTTGAGACAAGGTCTTGCTATGCAGTTCAGGCTGATCTTGAGCTACTTTGTAGCCTCGGGTGGTCTTGAGCTCACAACAATCCTCCTGTCTCAGCCTCCTAAGTGCTGGGATTACAGGTGTGTGCCACCATGTCTGGATTCAAAGTGTTTTCAGGAAGAAAGATGGTGGATTACATAGGTCTCAGTTACTTTTTTCTCACTGCTGGGACAAAATACCTGACGCCCAAAATTAAGGAAGGAAAGGTTTATTTCGCTTACAGTTCGTGGAAGTTTCAGTCCGCCCAGTCCGTACCTGGCAGATTATAAGGCAGAGTGGCATAATTACATTATAATTACATTATAAGGCACATGGCAAGGAGCTACAGCTCAGGGTGGCAGAACACAGCTAAGCTGCAAGCACATACCAGGGCGGAATGGGAGAGGAATGTCCTCAAGCACTCTTCCTCTCCCTTACATATGCAAACTATCCACCCCAGGGTGGGTGTAGTTCTCACACCCACAATCATTCAACTCTAATAGCCTGCCCCATGGTCGCATGAGGCTTTGGAGGGGACACACAGACACATACCATAACAACATATTTCTCCTGATTTTCACATCGTCCTATGTCTGAAAAGAGTTCCTTTCTTTTCTTTCTTTCTTTTTTTTTTTGTCATACTGGGGATTGAACACAGAACATTTACAGTTAGCTAACTTCCCAGCACTTTTCTATTTTTTTTATGTTGAGACAAGGTCTTGCTAAGTTGCTCAGAATGGGCTAAAACTGTTCAACTTCCTGACTTCTCAGAGTGCTGAGATTACAGGTGTGAGCTACCAATGTACATCTGCCCAACTTGTCCAATCTTCTAGTTGTCTATGATAGGAGAACAAGTCAGGTGTCAGTTATTTTGTCATGTCAGAATAATAAATTTGAATCTCCATATTGTTGAAAAAGTTCTTTTTATAGTTTTCTAAATTGTCACTAGCAAGCCTGCTTTACTCAGAAAATACACATAGTATTGTGTGAGTTTCCTATTGCTTCCATAAGAAGTTACCACTAACTTTGTGGCTTAAAAAACCCAGAAATTTATTACCTTACAATTCTGTAGGTCAGAATTTAGCAAGGACCTTGCTGAGCTAGACTGCATATCTTTTAAAGGTTCTAGGAAAGAATTTCAAGTTGCTTTGTCCTTTCTGGCTTTTGGGTTTGCCTATATTCATTGGCCATTAATTTTCTTGGTACATTTTTCGTATACTTAATGATCACATTCATCATACGGAATTTGTACCTGAATATACTATACCTTGAGTCCTCTTTTTTTCTTCAGTCCACTCCCTTCCCCTCAACCATTTTTCCCCTCCCCATCTACAAAAGCCTCGTTTCCTTTCTATTCCCTTTTTCTCTTCTATTTTCTTTATTTCTTTTTCCCTTCTCTGTTGGTGGTTTCTTTTGCTATGCCAAAGCCCTTTAATATGATGAGATTCCAGTAGCTGATGCTTTGTAACATCTCCTGTGCAAATGGGGTTTTCCTAAAGCCTTTGCCTACATCTATGTCTTCAAGAGTTTACCTATTTTATCTTCCAGTAGATTGTTTCTGTTTTAATATTTAGATCTTTGATCCATTTTGATGTTAATTTAGTGCATGGTGACAGATAAGGTTCTAGGTTTAATTTTCAGCATGTGGAAAGCCAATTTCTTAGCACCATCTATTAAAGAGGCTATTATCATTCTTCCAGTATGTGGTTTATGTGTAACTGAAAAGTGTGTATTCTGTTGTTATGGGATGAAACACTCTGTAGTTATCTACTAATTCCATTTGTTCAGAGGTTAGGTTCAGCTCAGATATTTTCTTGTCCAGTTGATCTGTCTATTTACCTACACAGGGTATAATTGAGGGACTCATTACAATTATATTAGCGTTTGTTTGATTTTTCATGCATGTTTATGTTGTGCTGCTATTTGGTAAATATATATTTATGATTGTTAGCTCCTCCTCTTGAATAGTTCCTTAACAAGTATGCAGTGACATTTTTTGTCTCTTTTGATCAGTCTTGGCTTGAAATCCACTTTGTCTGCAAATAGAACAGCTACCCCTGCTTTTTAAAATTTCCTGTCACATGGAGTATTGTTTTCCATCCTTTGAATTTCAGTCTATCAATTTCTTTTTGAACTAAATGTGTTTCTTGTATGTAGTATTTTGGAATTTGTCTCTTGATCCATTCTGTCAATTTGTTTCTTTTGATTGTTGAGTTGAGACCATTTCCATTGATGGTTGTAACTGATGTTTTGTTATCCTTGTCATATTATTTTCCTGTTGTTAGCTTTCCTTTCCCCCCTCTATTTAATTGCTTGCCTTTCCTGGTAGATTCATTCTCTTGGGGTTCATGGAGTTGCAATCAATATAAGATATCATTTTTCACAGGTTACAGGAGTTAGCAAATGGACATCTTTGGAGGACCATTATTCTGCCTGCCACAATATTTAAAGTGTTTATCATGAATTATTAGGATAATCAATCATCATTCCTAGAATGCACCATAATAAAAGATAAACCATTCATTTTGCACACACTGTAAAAGACATTATGGAGCATGGGCTTTGATAACTTCTGAGCAAATTTAAGTATTCATTTTTCTAAGGTCATACACAGTTAATGTGCCTGCTTTTGTTTTAGTGAATGATGCCTACTACTCACAGCAGGTAGCATCTTTATAGATAATTGAGAATTGTTAAATATAGCACTAAATTTGGGGCTCCCAGTCTAATTTTTCTCTATCCTTGAAATTCTTGTGACATCTTTGTGCATGTCTGCTAATACTAATTTTTTCGAGCCACTGCCAAAGCTCTATAGTAAAAATTTTATTCTCAAAGCTTATTAAAATACTCGTCCCTGAACATCCTACATCTGTAAGTGGTATCATGCTTTTACACAGCAAATTTTAAAACCATAGTCATTTTTGCCTGATTTTTAATCTAATCTTTACTTTCTCCACTGAATCCACTGTCATAGTTCATAGATTTTTCCAAGAAATCTCTCAAAAATCTTTTATGTTCTGCTTAATTCTAATTCCCATTACTACCAACATATTTCAAAGATCTGAAATATCCAAATCTCTCCCTAATGTGTCTCTTTGCTTTTCTTCCCTTTCCAAACCACCTATGTTACTTGGTCTTCTAAAAATTCAATCTTACTCAGAATTTCCTACATACTTACCAGTGTCTATAGGGTAAAGTTGTAACTCTTCAATATGTTATTATAAAAACTCACAATTCCATTTCAATAATTTAAATCTTTTAAGTCTGATTTAAAATACAACTTCCTGTTATTTTGTTTTCTGTGACTATTACAGCTTTCATCTGAATTTCTTCAGCAACCTTTTATAGAAATCTTTCAGTAATTTATCGTTTTATCTTGATTTACATTTCTATAACTGTATGTCTTTTATATTTTATTTTCCAACTAAATTTTCCAAGTGTAGAGTTCTTGTTTTGTAAATTTTCAAATACTCTATAATATATAGCGCCTAGAGGTTAATAAACATCTATTTATGGACAAAGGAAAATGAGCATGAAGGATATATTTTTCCAGGATGTTTTTGAGTGGTAGTATGAAATATTTCATGTTTCCTAATATAATTCAATAATATCTAATGTATTAATATTATTTTAAATTTTAAAAACACTAGCCTTGAATCTTCAAACCATTCTGTAGGGCTAAATTTTATAGTTTAGATAGACATTTCCTTAACTACCTTATGTTCTCCAATCCCCTATTTCAGTCTATTCTTTAGAACAACATAAGAATGCAATGTATACTTCAACTGTTTTTAAATTGTTCCAGATATCTAATTAGGGAGAGATTTGGATATTTCAGATCCTTGAAATACATTGGCAGTAATAAACCCTATATGAGGAATTATATAATCTTCATAAAGCAGTTCAATTAAAGATGGGCAGATGATACAAATATGTACTAATACAAAATTTAAACATTTAAAAAATATATATATATAGCTTGGTCTCTTTACTCCTTCTCCTGTTCTTTTCCATCTATGCTCTGGCTTCTGAGAATTTCTCATTTTATTTAAAGACTTCTAGGTTTCTGAGCAACCACCTTAGTAACCACAAAGACTATTTTAATTATCATCTCTAAAAGTGACCTCATTCTTTCAGTTCTTGCTCAGTAAAATAATATAGCTCTTGAATCAAATGTATTTTATTTTAAAATCAGACTCTAAAGGATTCCTTATTTCCTTTCCTTAACTGCCTTGTGTTCTCCAATCCCCTATTTCAGTCTATTCTTTTGAACAAAATAAGAATGCAATGTATACTTGGATTGTTTTAAAATTGTTCCAAATATTTTCAGGGTTGACTCATTCTTAAAACCCATGGAAACCCTAGTTTGTTTGGCTAAACTCAGGACTAGAATTTTAGGAATTGTGACAATTATGGTTCATCTTATGATCCTGGGTGAACTATTTTATTTTCCTTGCTTTAGTTGCTACATCAGCAAACAAGCAAACAAAAACCCTATTGTGTGCAACCAGAAGGTTGATGGCAAAGGACAGTAAACTTTGCAGGCATTTGTGAGCAGGAGGAAATATCAAACTAAGTGTTACCAATTCCACTGTCACAGGGAAAACAGAAGAATAGTGTAATTTTCACTATATAGATCTTTTACATTCTTTCATTAGATTGATTCCTAAGTATTTCATTTTTTTTTAGATACTATTATGAAAGGTGTGGTTTCACTAATTTCTCTCTCAGTCTGTTGTTTGTGTACAGGAATGCTATTGATCAGGTTCTAGGATTTATTATTAAATTCAAACTTTACAGAAATCCTAAGTGGCATAGATATCTATATTCTTATGTCCCTTATGCAGAAAAACAAAGATAACTGAGGTTCAGTCAGGATAAGGGTTTGTTTGAAGTCACAGATAAGTGAAAGGCAGAACCAGTTTAATCTCCAACCCCAAGCTTGAGCTTGTAACTAGCAGGTCACACAAGTTCCAGCTGCAAAGGCTTGGGACCTACAGCGGTGAGCTCTGATAGGAGAGCTGCTGTTGGTCTCTGGGACAGTTCCATTCACTTTATAGTGGCTGACTTGACTTATGAAATGATATTTTGAAAAGAATATAAGTTCAAAACTACTATGCATTTTAGGTGTATGATCTTATGTTCTCTTTGTTGGCCTCTTGCCCTCCCTTTTTTCTTCTTCCCTTTCTTCTTCCTTCCTTCCACTATGGAATGAGTGTTGTTATGATTTGAATATGGTTTGTCCTCCTTAAAATTCATGTTGAAATTTGATTATCATTGTAGCAGTGTCAAGAGGAGCATTTAAGAGGTGATAGCATCATGAGAATTTATAGTCCTGGGAGCAGTTATCAGAAAGTGAAGCCACCCCTCATGTTTTGTCTGTTCCACACATGTTCACTTGCCATTCTGATTCGCTGTGACCTCATTTCACAGCACAAGGCATTTGCCAGAAACTATGTAGGTGCTAACACCATTCTTTAAAATGTCCCAGTTCTGGCTGCCGGGAAAATGGTGGACCGAAAGGTGGGACAGGAGAAGCCTGAGAAGTCAAGCGAGCTGGAGCCATCGGAGTAATGGAGGGGAAAGTTCCAGTCACAGTGCTGAGAAGCTATCAGCTGAAGAGGAAGCTGCAGGCCTCCAATAAAGTCTACAAAGATCTCCAAGTTTGGATTTGCCATAGGTAAATGATAACAAAGAAAGCATCAGCTTAGATAACAAAGAAAGCATCAGCTATATCCAAGAAATAAACCTAAAGAAACTGGTCCAACTCTTGCTCCAAAAAACCTTTCAGTACCAGCAGCTTTTAATGAAGATGAAGATAGTGAACCAGAGGAAATGTCTCCAGAAGCAAAGATGAGGATGAAGAATATTGCCAGGGACACACCAACGTCATAGACCAAACTCTTTCAATAAAGAAAGCATAGGTTTTCTGTTAACCAGAAGCTATGGGAATAAAATATAAACTCTCATCTTGGAAATGTCCATGACCAAGACAATTAAATGATGTGTTTTGAACTAAGGTGTAGGGTGGGTGTAAAGTTAAAAGAAACAGTTTCATTTTTTTAAAGAATAGTATAAGACTATCTTTGGAACTGCTTTTTCTTTTTCTTTTTCATTTTTTTTTTTAAGATTGAGTGGTACATGAATAAGTGAGAGTTTGAAATTAAAGGTAATTTATGTTTTATATACAGATTTCAAGACATTTGCTAATTTTGTAGTTTTATGTGATTAGTTTCCAATGGTTACAGATAATAAAGAAATCAGAAATATGTGGTTTCACTAATTTCTCTCTCAGTCTGTTGTTTGTGTACAGGAATGCTATTGATCAGGTTCTAGGATTTATTATTAAATTCAAACTTTACAGAAATCCTAAGTGGCATAGATATCTATATTCTTATGTCCCTTATGCAGAAAAACAAAGATAACTGGTATCTTTTTAGTTTTTTCTCACAACTATTAGCACATTAAGAGGGAAGCAAAAAGTTACTGTCTATTTAAAGCTGCAAGCAGTTATGCCTAAATTAACTTCCTTCTCATCTAAACTGTGTGGTTCCCAGGAACAGCCTTATAGAGGGAAAGGAGGAGTATCATATTGAAAAGAAAATGTTATTGGACTATTGACTGAAAGTAAATTTAGATAAAATTAAAATAGCGTTTTTTTTTTTCCTTATGGGCATTAGTTTTGTTTCAAGTCATCATATATTAGGTATTGTGTTGCTATCAGTGAGTACAGATACTTAGCTCTTTTACAAAAAAAAATTTAAAAAATTTTTTTTAAATTTACATGTACACACTGCTTAAGTATTTGGCTGGTTTTTGTTTTTAAAAGGTATAAACACCAAAAAAATTAACATTTTACAAAATGGGAAAGCAATAAGATGCATTTTCTGTAACTCTATGGGTTTATGTTACTGTTATTAAATTCAATTTGAATTGAATTCATTACAGAATTTCTTACTAGTACAGTTAATGTGGTTTATTTTAAGTATACACATACTGACCAGTGGCCTCTCAAAAGCATGTTGTAGGTACTGAAAATAAAAGGAAAGAAAATGCATCTTCAGACACATTTTATGGAATTGCTCATCACATATACGCTTAAATCTCTGTATTGTAAGCTGTTTGTTTTGTATTGTATATGGACTTTCTAATGTGACACTTAAACACATCTTTAAGAGCATAGTCACAGACAAAAGAAAAATGATTGTAGTGATTTCCTTCAGAATTCCTACAATGTTAAATTTGGAGGCAGCTTCAGACTATTTCATTGGTGGTAGTTACTTGCTTTTTAATAGGTAGTAACTCCAGAGAAGAAACCTGTGCCTATGCCTAATAAGTTGTTCTTTTACATTAAAGTTTGGATTAAGCCCCAAGTAAAACAATGGAAATGTATATAGAACCATTAGTTCTTACATGATTCAATTATATCAAGATACATGAATTTAACTTACTTTTATGTAGGCAAACGTTCATTTTTGTCCATTTTACTGTTTGTTAAAATAACATCCCTCTCCTACATATTCTGTTCTTGACCCAAATGAAATACTAATATAAGGTCAAGATGACGAGAGAGAAATGACTGAGATGCATGTCTTTACTAAAATAACCAATAAATTTTGTCACACTCAATAAAATGGTCCAGTTGCAGAAGCACCTCAAATTGTTTCTTTGTGAATAGATAGTTTCAGGCTTTTTGTAACAGCAACAGAAAACAGAGTAACACAAATGTACCCCCAAAGTTCATGGGTTAGAAACTTCGGCTCCTGTGCAACAGTGTTGAGAAGTAGGACTCTTAGGAGGTGAGTAGCTCTAAGGGATGGACCCTCAGGAGTGCATTCATGTCATTGTCACAGATGCAGGAAGTTAGCCAAAGACAGTGGGCTTGTACAATCAGCCCCTTCTGCGCTCTCTCTCTCTTTCTCTCTATCTTTCTCTGTCTCTCTCTCATGACTCTCATGAATGCTTTCATCACATGATGCCTCTGCCAAATTATGACACAGCAAGAAGGCCCTCACCAGATGTGGCCCCTTGATGTTCGGCTTCCCAGCATCCAGAACTTTGAGTCAAGTTAACTTCCATTGTTTAAAATTTACCCCTTCTCTGTGACATTCTGTTACAGCACTGGAAAGCAAGCTGTTTCTTTTCCTTCCTCTGTCCTTCCCTCTACTTACTTACCCATTCCTCCCTCTGACTTCCCTCCTTCCTTCTTTCCCTCCCTCCCCTCCTCTTTCTTCCTTTCTTCATCCCTCTCTTTTCCTCCCACTGCTTGTCCCTCCCTCCCTTCCTTTCTTCATTTTTATTCAATGACTTTTGAATTGAGCATTAATAAATTGTTGTTTTTATACCAAGTCTCCATTATATAATAGTGATGCTTTGGAAATGTTTAAGAAAAATTTATGGCTTTCTTGGCATCTTTTTTTTAAATAATAGTCTAGGGATCAAACTCAAAGCCTATTATGTTGTTGGCAAGCATTCTGCCACTAAACCACACTCCCAGCCATGTCATCTAACTTGAGATAATACCAATATTAACTTCTATTTCTTGGGATCTTTGTTACTTATATTAGAACTTCCCTAGACAGTTATTCCCAGGTTCATCGGCATCAGTTTTGAATTTAAGACATTTTAACAACATAACAGGGCATCTCATTTATTCTTTCAGAAGAAATTAACCTTCATCTGTTGGCTATCATGATGAAAAGAATTGGCACAGCTGCACATCGGAGACAGAATCACTCAGAAGAAGCACAAAAGCACTTAGATGATCATATATTCTTCAGCCTCTTGGCTTGTGGAGTATGATGGGTAATACTGACTGTCAACTTGACTGGATTAAGAGATACTGGCAGATGAGTAAAGTGCACTTCCCAGTGTGTTGTGAGAGAGTCCTCACATTATTGGCAGGTGAGTCTGCAAACAGGGGGAAGACATGCCCTGAGGTGGATAGTGCCATATAATAGTCTTGCATCCCAGATCCAATGAAAGGGAAGAAGGAAAAAGTCAACCCATGTTGGCAAAGCTCTATTCTGCTGAGCCGGTGCATCTTTTGCTACTGCCATTGCCCATGGACATCAACTCCAATTTCTTCAGCCTTTCACTATGGATTCACACTGGTGACTCTCTAGTGAGTTTCCAGGCCTTCAGTCTCAGACGAGCGCTGCACCCTTGATCTCCCTTGTGTTGTGTCTCCCAGTTTCCTGGACTGAGCAGCTGCAGGATCCTCAGTGCTGGCTCTTCAGTGCTCAGATGGACATTGTGGATCCTCCCACCTATAAACTAGCTAATAAATTCTTACTCCAGAGAATCTAACCAGTATACTGAGGTGTAAAGATTTTGACCATTATTAGATCCCACCAACCTACTCATTCACTTCACAACACTGGACACAGCAGTGAACAGAACATACAAAATTACATAATTGCATGGGGCTTATCCAATACATATATTGTAGCTGGTTTGACAGTCTTTACTTCTAGGATTCAGTAGTGCTTTCTGTAGGCACAAAACTCTGGGGATTTGCTAATAAACTCAGATTGAGATTTTAGGCTATTTATCTTACAAATATTTTACAAATATTCTTATCCTCTCTTTCTTAGTTTTTCTTTTGTTCCTCCTAAGTGTAGTTTTCCTTGGTTCACTTTCCTTGAATTTTCCCTTTGTTTTTTGTTTTCCTCTGTAATCCCAGGATCTTTTCAATTCTTCTTCCCTCCTTCCATGCTTTAATATTTTTAAGAGCTCTGCAAGGTTTCATTTCATTGATGAGGAAATTAAGGCTCAAAGAAGTTAAATAATTTCCCCAAGACCACACAGCTAGTAAAGAGCAGATTTCAGATTTTAATTTTGATGTGTCTGACTCCAGAAGTTGTACTGCTAGCTACACTTTTATTCTTGCAGCCTTTAAAAAATCTATTCTCTTACCTCATACAGCCTGAACTCTGGTCTATAAGCATGTGAATGATGAAGCATGTGTCATTCCTAGTTCTACTTTTAGCTTATGATGGTTCTGACCCACTATAAAATTTAGTATTTTTATTACTATCCAGTTTCTAAAGTCAAGTCAGCTATTTTTGCTGGAAAAGCTTTCAGTCTTCTGCTCAGCTTCTACTTTTTACCATTTTCACGTCATCCCACAGAAAATTTATTCTACAAAAAATCCTGAAAATTTTCAATGATTCTACACAATTATCACTCACTAAAGTGCCAGAAGAATTCCCTCCTTTTTTTTTTTTTTTGCATGTGTGAGCTATTTAAACTGCCAGTGTTTCTGCTCATATTAAATAAATCTCACTAAGAACAAGGACATTTCCTTTTCTGACTGCTGTTCTGAACTTGTACCATTTTCCAATGCGGCCTGAGTTGAAAGTCACAGGATTTGAAAGTGACCTTATGTAGGCTGAGCCAGTCCTTTTCAGAGAGCTACATGAGGCCAAACCATGTAGGGAAACTGTGGTAGGAAGCCTGAGACCAAGCCCAATTATAGAACCACATGCAGAAGGCTGGGGAATATGCAGAAGGGTGAGGAGAATAGTAAGTAAGTCAGGGCACTCCTGCTACCTTGGCAAATTAGTTTCTCTGGGTTTGAGTTCCCTAATTTATGAAACTGGATATATTGTACTAGATAGTGACTGTGTGTCAGAATCGTCAGGGAAACTTAAAAACAGATGCTAAGTCTTCAGTCCAGCTTGGGTAGAACCTGCAGTCCTCTTACTTGAGCCTCCCAGAGTGAGGAATCTTTTCTAACCAGTTGCCTACATGATTCTACCACAACTGTATTGAAAAAATTTCCCTGTTTCCCGTTAGGACTGCGATCATAAGGAGAGGAGGAGCTTGCACCCCAGCGGCAAACCCTCCCACTCAAAGTTCATGCTTCAGCCATCGTGTCCTTGGAATCTAGTTCAAAGCTGAGGAGAGCGAACCATGGCGCTGGGAACCATTGGTGAGGTGGTTGGACAGATTGAAGTGAAGTGTTTCAGCCAGAATGTACTGACGCACGACCAGAAAACCGCAAGACTGGTGAAAACCTTGCCAAGCCAGAGCCCTGTGATCAAAACAGGTACAGGAAATGGCTTCCCCAAGAGTCCTGCTGCTGCTGGCCCGAACCCTGAGCTGCCGAGACTTTCTGAATTCCCTGAGCAGACTGAACCATTACTGAAGCATTTTTCTGAGGCCGGGGATATAGCTCAGCAGGCGCTACGTCCTGAGTTCCATTACCCATACCCGCCCCGCGTCCCTCAAAGAGCCAAAATAACCCTAAAGCGTTTTCTTGCCTTGTTCTGCGGTCGCTTCACTGGTCGCAGAAGAGTTGCTATCTCTTTTTCTCTCCTTTCCTTCTTTCTGCGGAGATTGCTGTCTGACTGCTCACTCTAACTTTTCAGAGCTCATAGACTACAGGATTTTTGCCTTTTGCAAACTGGCTATTGTTTAGCGCTCAGGGCCTGAATACAAACTCTCAATAGGCTAGTCTTCCTTTTGTTTCCTTTAAAATTTGATTCAAACAGAAATTGTATTTAATCTGTCCCAAATATGTATCATGTCTGGATACAAAGTCAAAAATAGCTTGCTCCTGTGAACTCTCTTTGCTTGGCCGGCGAAACTGCCAGTTGCCGTGCAATAAATCACATTTTCATACAGTTGAAACACTAATAGCTGACTAGCAAGATATTCGGACCATACTCTGAGAGCCAAATGGTGGAGAACGTGGGCTGAGCAATGATTGCTTAGGAAGGGGACATTTCTCCTGGAAAGACAACAGAATAATTCTGCACTGCTGATTCTATCATAGGTACAAGCTCCCATGTATAGGCAAATCCAGCAAGTGTCCTGAACTTGTCATTTGCATTCCTGCCTTGCACTGTGTGTCTCTATTTTCATTGTGAAACCCTGACTAGATGACCCATCAGTATTACCTATGTGGAATAAATCCATGATCCACTTCTTACCCACATCTCAGCAAGGATGAAGCAGCAACAGCTTTTTGGGGACAACATCCTGAGTCTTAGCTTGGGTTTCAATGATTTTAGGAAAGGTGAAAAATTCCATGATGAGAGGCCATACACTTTCTGCAAAGATGTGAAAGGTCCAGATTTGACGCTGAGCTCAAGCAATAGCAACAATCAAATGGATTCTGAATTTTTTTCCCTGAGACTTTCGTGTGCAGGAGAGACTTTGCGGCCACATTGTGCTCTAGCACATTTTCTGATAGGCCTTTTTTTAGGAAGTGCTATCTTTATACTCTGCTGACACTAACATTGGAAAATAAAGTCTTTTTCACTCTCTCTCTTTCCTCTACTTTTGGCTTAGTTTATCCTATAAAAACACACTTCAAAAGGACTTTCTAGAAAGAATGTTTCAAAAATATAATATTTCCATCTGTTATTTCAATAATACATGTGTTGGGACTCTCTTTATGAACCATTTTCCTTTCTTTGCTCCCATTTAGAAGTATAAATATTTGATTCTAAAACCTCGGAGGAATAGTCAGCCAATCAGGTCACTGAATTGCGAACATTCCTAACCTTATAATTTTGTCTGTAGCAGGCACCTCCTGCTGTGGAACTAACTGCTAAGGGATCCCAGCAATGTAATCCTTGGACTGTTCAGTTCAAGGTTACTCTGAAGTGGAGGGAAGGAAGCAGCTTTAATTTTGATAAAATAAACTTTATTTTGTAACTTTATTACTTGTTTTTCTTTCTCCTTTCAACACTTCATAATAGATGTGTCTGGTAATTTGAAGTTGCCTCCCTGGCTCAGGCGCCCCTGGGCCACCCCGTGTTCTTGTAGCTTTTTAAAAGGCATAGCCACACAGACTCTGGTTGTCATTCCAGCGTACAAAACCTGAGTTTTTTCCTGTCATAAGCTGAACAAAGCAGTATACTGACCCTTATGAAAAATATACAAATAATATTTTCCAAATGGGTCGCAACAGAGGATTCATGGGCATTTGCCAGCTATATATATTGGAAATATCAAATCATTTGCAAAATTGTAAGTTACTTTTCTGCTTCTAGGCTTTTCTTTTTTAAAATCAAACCTCTATCTCAGGAATTATTGAGGCAACTGCATGTAAGGCTACAAGAAAAATTTAATGGGAATTCCCTTCTTGATATAAACTGCAACAATTTCCCAGGAATGAAAGATTTTTATGGATGAAATGTAATATATTTTGAATCAAGCCCAAAGAGATCTTTTGCTGTGTGTGAAGAATAAAGTAAAATTCCATTAATAAAATTTTATGGCTGGATGAGTGGGGAAAAAATCTTTTCCAAGATAAAAATATTTTCCTGTTGCTTCTTATGTTAAAAAAATAAAGTTATAGACATTCACTTGAAATTGAGCCTACTTATTAGAATACAAATAGCCAAATCTTTCTGGAGACAGTAGAACAAAATGTTGCAGTTTTAACAGGTATATAAATTTGTGCATGATATCATGCTTCCAGGTGTCTGCTCAGTAAATAAAACTTAAAATGCTGGATAAATTTTTAAAAAGTCATTTTGATGTCATTACAGAGCAGTAAAGCAGCCAGAAATTGAAAGCTCAGGGTCTTGAAAAAGATAAGCCTGACATCTTCTGCCGTTTTCCTCGTTTTTCCCATAAAATCTGACTCAAAATTGAAAAAGCAATCCCATGGGATTCTTGGTTGTCCTACAGGTCTGAGGGGAGTCATCGGAGTCTGGGAATGGGCTGCAGAGCTGGGGAGCAGCTAGGTTTTCCACTGGGACTCTTCAAGGACTTTTCTAGGAGTATAAGTGAACAGAATTAGCCTTTACAGAGATTAAAACAAATTCTTATATTTATTACCTAGTTAGATCACAGTGATCTTTCTAGGCCAATAGTCCACCCAAAACAACTAAATGTTCTATGTGGAGAGTTAACATCATCAAAAACTTCAAAGTATCTCTAAAATATTTCATATACCACATTAGCATTTAATAAAATACTGCTGACCATTCCAGCAGTATTTTACTAAATACTGAAGGAAGACTGAATGATCAAACGTGAAAAGAAAAGTCACTCCAAAAAAAATCAAACATATATAGAAGCACAATTTATTAGAGTTACCAGACATGAGCTTTTAAATAACTACAACATTTTAAAGAAAGTAGAGAACATAGTCAAGAATTTTGGCTGACACCTAGAGTTTTAAAAAAACAATTAAGTATAATTGTTGAAATAAAAGTATAGTACCTGAATTTTAAGAATCAGTGTGCAAGGGTGGACGCCAATTACACAGAGCCAAAGATAGAAGTAGTGAATTAGAGGAAACATTAGTAAAAATAAACTAGAAACCACTAAATGTACTGGAAGCATGAATAACCAAAATACAAATTTATAAAAAGTAGTAAAGTGGTAGGTTTAAATTTAAATGTACAAGTAATTGTATTAACTATAAATTGACTAAGTATTACAATTAGAAGACTGAGACCATCACAGACTTGTATTAAACATACACATACACACACAGAGACATAAACACATCTGTGTACTACTTATAAGAGACACATTTCAAATATACAAAAGATTGAAAGTAAAAAATTTTAAAGATATATACCACATAATGGTAACCTAAATAAGGCTGGAGTAGTTATATTAACATCATACAATGAAGATTTTAATGTGGAGAGAATTATAATGTATACAGAGAATTTTATGACATCACATCAAAAAGATACAATCATCCAAAATTTATGCTCAAAGAGTTTATTCTGTGTTTAGAAGCAGATGAATGACATTTTCAAGAGAAATTCTGTTTAAGAAAAAAAATGCTCTAAGTTTGGAACTATGGAACAATCCTTTTGGTGCATTAGAAATAAAGATGTGGCCAATATAATGCTTTAATAATGAGTTTATAATTGTGTTGCTCAAATTTCTAAACTGTGTCTTCTTTTCTCATTCATATTTTTTATTAGTGCATGTTTGCAGTACATAATGATTACATTTATCATGGATAAACTTTGTCTTCTTGTTCTATCACATATGGACAGAAATATGTTATCTGCTCCAAATATATCTGGGTATGAGTTTGTTTCTTCTTTCAATTCTGCAAGGGTTTGCTTTATGTGTAAGTATGTTGTTGCATATACAGAAAGAAGTTGCTTCACAATATCTTTAAGTTCTTTCTCCACCTGAAATAAAGTGACACTCAGATAGTATTGTGTGTGGTTGATGGGTACAGTTAATGTGAGGGAAAATTTGATATTCCAATTAGGGTCACTCATTCAAAACAGTCTTTGATTTTCCATCAAGTTATCAGCAAATGAATGAAGTTTAATATTTCAGTTTAGATAAATGTGTTTATTATTAGTTAACTAGAACACCCATACCAACTTGGGGTGGAGTGGGTGGCTTAAAGTGGCAGAAATTTATTATCACACAGTTCTGGAGGCCCACAGTTCAAAGTCAAGGTGTCAGCAAGGCTAGTTTTTTCTGAGATCTCTCTCCTTGACTTATAAATGACTATGCTCTCCTTGTATGTTCACAGGGTCGTCTTTCTACACATGTCTGTATCTTTATCTCTGAAGAGAACAGGAGTCATATTGGATTAGGGACCACTGTAATGACTTCATTTTACCTTAATCACCTCCCGAAAGACTCCATCTCTAATTACAATCATATACTGAGGTGCTAGAGGTCAGTACTTCAAAATGTAGTTAGAGAGGGACACAATTCATCCTACAACAGTGCATTAGGTATGATTTTTAAGATTCCATGCTTTCAGTAGCTTTTTGGCTAGATAGGCAATGAAACTACTGATGCCATGATTCATAGCATGGGCTCTGCTCTTAGTAACGATGCACCTTGGGAGAACAGCCTCCTAGGGCTGAAGTTCCCTTATCTGTAAGATGAGGATCTAATAACAGCACTTATTCCATCAGGTTATCTGTGAGAATTGTATGAGCAAATACATGTAAAGCATTTAGAATGATGCCTGGCATATAGGCAATATTTAATCAAAATCAACTATAATTACATATCTCATATATTTTAAAGTATTTTGAAAAGTTCTATGCATTGTGTGGCATGGTTCTCTGTTGAGTTCAAACTGAGATTCAAAGTCCTACGGTTTGTGTAGACCGAAAGTATCTGTTTTCATGAATTGATATGCATATGGGCTTTTGCTTAGCAGGCAGAAAGAGAAGATATGCTTAAAGTACACATCAGAGTGGGCAGCATTGGCCAGGATACTGGTGTGCTGTCTTCCCTTCCACCTGGTTTCATGAACTTGTTTTTAGTCTTTTGGTAGAAAGTGCCATGGAACAAAGCTGTAGAATCTCTTTCCCATGATGTTTAGAGACTTGATACAGGCAAAATTGTTGTGGAGCCTGGTGACAAAATACAACCCAGAATAGAACAGTGGGAAGAACTCTCTCTGTTCCTCAACAGTGCAGACCTAGCACTCCAAGAAAATGCCCACTGTCAGAGGCTGCCTCGCTGGTAGGACGGTGACGGGCAGGACAGGACACTGAGAAAGCCTTGGCAAGGAGGCTGTCAAAGGGCTACATGAGCCTAATGTTCCCTGCATGTGTAAGAGCCTCTCTTGTGATCCTTCAGAGAAGACTGAGAGAAAGTTTGAGGTTTAAGGTATCCAGGAGCACAATAATTCCATCTCTTGAGATTTTAAAACCTGACTAACGTACAGCATTTACACCTATTGTCATTTGGGCTACATTAACAATTTTTTTAGGTTACTATTGTCCTCTTGAAATTTTTACCACATATAATAGAGAAATATAACCTTGAAATTATGGCTATGTTGACTTAAGGATTTTGGGGGGAACTATGTCTCTGTGTGTGTGTGTGTAAAGGTGTTGTAATAAATGTCATGTGGCCCACTTTCTACCTCCCACCTAGCTGCCAGGAGTGCTTTCAGTGGAAAGCTTGTACCTGTCAGGCATCTTTTCTTGGAATTCCCTTGCACTGAAAACCAAAGATGACAGTTAAGAAATCTGTCCATGAAGAATGAAAAGACAATTCACAGGGTAGACAAAGATACTAGCAATATATATTTCAGTATGATTCATATTCAAAATAAATAAAAAACACCTACAAGTTAGTGAACAAAGGAGAAAAAGCTAATTTGATATAAACCAAAGACTTGAACAAGGAGATCAGAAGAGAAGAGAGACAAATGGCCAATAAATATAACAAAAGTTACTCAAAATCAGTAAGTTCTCCAGAGAAATAAAAACAAAACTTTAATATGAGATTGCTACATAGCCACCAGAGCATGTTGGCAAGGTTGTTGAGCAAATGCAAATCTCAATTATAGTGATGGTGAGAGTGTTAATAGGTATAGCAAATTTAGAAAACTCTGATACTGTATATTAAAAATGAACAAATACATTCTGTATGATCTAGTATATATCAACAGAGGTACATTTCGTGATCAAAAGACATTTATGAGAATGTTTATAGCTATAATTTCTCATGAGAACCATAATTGGAAATAAATGTTCATCTCTAATAGATTGGATAAGTAAATAAATAAGAGTAATTGAATGACAGTGACATGCATCATGGATGAATCTCAGTATATTGTTGAATGATAAACACAATACCCAAAAGGGTACATTGAACAGGAACAAAAATACTAAAAACAAGGCAAAATTATCTGTGGTATCATAAGTCAGAGTTGCTGTTAGCCTTGTTTTGAGTGGAGGTATAAAGTATAGTAACTGGAAAGAAGCACAGGAGTTCTGAGGCTATTTATTTATTTATTTATTTATTTTTTACAGTGGTATTGGAGATTTAATCTGGGGCCTTTGCACTGAGCTATACCCCGAGCCCATTTTTTAAATTTTGAGACATGTTATTGCTAAGTCGCCAAGTTGCCCAGGCTGGGCTCAAATTTGCAATCCTCCTGCCTCACCTTCCCAGAGTGTTGGAATTACAGGCATGCCTGACTGATTTCTTGTTTTTTGATCTGATTTCCCATTACATGGGTATATTTACTTTGGGGAACACTAAGTTGCACAACGATGATTTATGTATATGGCAAAAAAGGGGAGAAAAATACTCTGAAGAGAATTTTGTTCACAGTATGGAAAAATACTTTTTTGCTATAAAGGAATGAGAAAGAAGTTCAGAAATAGTTCACTTGAGTTTGACTTCTTTATAAGGAATTTTTCATAATTTGGTAGCTACTCTATGGAAATTTGAGACTTTAAAAAACAATGCTTAGGGATTATAGTAACTATTTCATCTTTCTATAACTAATATCATTCATGGCTTCTGAGTTATTTGTAAATACGACATTCCTTTCATTAATCATGACTAATAAAGAAAAACGTTGCCACTTG